GTCCTCCTCCGCAGCTGCGCCCTCCGCCGCCTAAACAGGCAACAACAAGAAACAACAACCCAAAGGTTGCGTAATTAGGCACATAAAGAGGGAAAAGCCAGGAGGGAAAAAATGATGATGGTTCAGAGGAATTGAGGCAAGGGGAAGTCCAGAAACAGTCCTAATTACAGCCCTCACCCCGCGCCCTCTAACCGTCACAACTCCCAACTGCCACCCTGGGCCCCAACCGTCACAACTCCCACCTGTCGCAGGAACCAGGTTTTCCCGCTGAGTCTTTTTGCCTTGTCGTCTTCCTTCAGCGCCTCCACTGCCTTGGCCTTGGCCATCGCCACCTCCGCGTCGAAACGAGCCTGGTCGGGATTAAGGGGGCGGGAGTGGGGGGGAAAGACGAACCACGAACGAGTGAAGCTGCTGCCAGGGCAAGAGTAGGTGGGGGTGATGACCGGATTATTTATTTTATTTATTTCACTACTTATATATTATTTATCATTTAATTAGTTAGTTCTTGGCAACAATTGAATATCCGGGAGGGTTATTAAAGGTTGTGGACGGTTAAAAGTGCTGTTGACAGTTAGGGTTCTGCGGGTCAAGGTGTTGTACGGCCGTACATACATACATACATTCATACCGCACGTACATACGTACACACACCTTCCACGCGTTGAAGTTTGCCACGGTTACTGGAGTTCCGTGAGCTCGAGCCTCAGCTCGCTTCCGTTCGGCAGCCTCCTCAGCCTGCGGGGGGTGATGGGGGGGACATGGGGGTTTGGGGGAGGCGAGATTGCGGTGTTTTGGGATGCTGTCAGCGGGGCTTTTGCTTGCGTTGAGTGAGAGGGAGGTTTCAGGAGGGGATACGTGCGTGTCGTACACTGTCGTACATAGATTCAAGTTCCTCTGGCCCCTCAGCGCCACCTCCCGCCACCTGTACGACCCCCTCGGAGCGGTTATGGACTCTCCCACATTGTTACTTCGGGCGGCTTCGGAGCGTTAACGCGGTCTCAATCTGTTTCATGATTTCACTTCTCCTTTCCCCCCCCGATAAAGACATAAACACACGACAGATTAGACTCCCCTTGGCAGTTCAGAAATACATACATACGTACACACACACTCGGACTGCCCTCTTTGTGTTTCACGCCGCTGTGGCTGCGGCTGCCGCAATCTCCTCCCCCCCTTACCATTCGCAACCACCTACCTACCTAACCGCCTAACCAACCTACCGCAGCCTAGCTACCTCTACCAACCTATTCAAACCAGACATCGGCAAACGGGGTATTTCTGATTTCGGGAACGGGTCTATTTCTGTCATCATTGACTAACGCGGACTTAGGAACTTCGGGCGTTTAACGCATTTCGTATACGGCATATGATCCTATTTCTGCACTGCAAGCCGGCCGGCTTCGGGAACTCTATTTCTGTTTTCGGGCGTTTCGGTGTACGACCCGAAACTCCCGAAGCGTTTGCTGATGTCTGATCCAAACCACCTACCTACCTACCTACCAACGTAACCCCTTCCTTTCCTGCCAAAAGGTGCATACTGTACGACCCAATACACATGCAGTAGTTGGTAAAGGGTAACGGTGTGTCAACTGCTGCACCGCTGCCAGCTGAGGAAAAAGACATGCCGCAACGCAGCTGCGGCGGCGATGTCCTGGCGGCCTCAGTGGTGGTTCCGGAGCGTCAACATTGTCCGTACATCGTCGTACCGTGCGCTTCATGCTTTCCGCTACAGCCCCTTCAGCTGGGAAGAAGCTAGATCCCAAACTATTCCCAGCAATACTTCACGACCGGCCACATTGTGGAAGATATCTGCCGTCGACTTGCGTGCACGCGCGCGCGCGCGTGTGTATGTATGTGTATGTGTGTGCGTAACTGGAAATATACACTTGATTGCTGCATAACCCCCCGTACTTATGTCCCGCCCCCCCTCCCCCCTAAATCCCCTCACTCACTGGAGGTCCGTCCCCGTCTTAAATCCCCTCCTTCCCCCCTTTCATGAGAGGTCCGTCCTGGACCATCGCCATCCTCCCTCCCGATTACTCCGATGTACCTTGCGTCGCTCCACTTCTGGATCCACCACTGGCCCGCTGTTGACCCGCCCTGACAGGTGGTTAAGGTATTTATGTGGTTAGAGAGGTAGTTTGGCGGTTAGAAAAAATAGTTACGTGGTTGGGTTGGTGGTTAGGCAGGTAGGGAGGTAGGCAGGAAGGTAGGGAGAGTAGTGCCGAGGGCAACTTATTCCCCATCCGAACCAAAACTGTCACAGCAAGTTCACTTGTGTTCTATGACCTTCGATTACTGTCGTGAATTACTCGTACTCGTACTCGTACTACTCGTACTTCAAAGTGTTAGTAAAGCCCTCTCCCCCCCCGGGGGGGAGAGGTAGGTGACCACCCTCGGGGGTTTCACCACGCGCCGCCGCAGGAAAAACCCAAACCGCGAGCAAGTACCCCTCCATCAACTTGCTGTCACACCTCACAACCCCACATCTCCCACATCCCGAATTTTCGCAAGCTTTAGTTTCCCTCGCCTCTCGCCATCCCCCCACCACTTGACCTCTCACCCCAACCCGACATCACTCCGCTTCCCCTTCCCCTTCGTTATCCCGCACCTTGAAGCCACTCCTTAGCTGCCCCGATTAATGTGTAGATCATGGCCATGCCAAGGTTTGCTTGTACTTGCTCGTCCAGTACGGCAGTGGCCTCCGCGAGATCCGAATCGCTTAGCCCCGTCACGCTGCGCAGCTTCAGGCTGGGGGGCTCCTCGGGGTATTTGGGGGTGTGAGCAAAAAGCAGCTCGGCTTTTAGGGGGTATTCTCCCGAATCTCCGTCTTCGTCTTCATCTGGCGCGATGACCACCTTGTACGTCTTTCCTGCGGCAACCCAGCCGCTAGGCAGGTTGCCCTCGTACTCTATCAAGTCGTCCATCAAGATCGCCTGCAGCGCCTCCAGCTCCATCTCTTGCTCCCCTTGATAATCCATGTTGGGTTTATCGGAACTCGTAGGGTACGGTGCAGGAGATGCAGGCGCGCAGCGGCGGCCGATCGCTTATGTCAGAACGTGACTACTGCTTAGTGCTTAAAAGGTAACGCAATATATCAATAAAATAAGCTCCTTGCTAGTGCTAACACTCAAATTTGGCGTAGTTTTCACAGCATCAGCGTGTTTGGGCTCGCGAAACAAAGCCTACTCCTACTTGCAGAAGCGTTTCAAATGACCACATAACAAGGGCCTGAAACAGAATCCTATTCGATGTGGAAAAGTAATCCAAATTACACAGCAACCGGAATGTACTACCGGTAAATTGGACGACACGACAAGGCAAAACACCGACAGTTGAATGCCATTGATGTTGATGGATGCGCACTAGGGAGAAGTGTGTTTAGGTACATATTTCCATGATAACCTGTTAAGAATGTAAGGGAACTTGTGTACCGGAATCAATGGCCACCCCAACGAGACAAGTAAAGCGGGATAAGCCATTTCTCCGTTTGCTGACCATAATTGCATCCAAAGCCCACATATTGAGCTTATGGCTAATCTTTGCCTCCATCTTGGGGCTGCTTGCGCTGCCGCTGCTCGATCGACAAATCCGCTTCGATGAGAAAGGGCTGCTCGCGGGGCTAGCACATCCCACTGTCGGGTATGATATAAGCTTTGTAGAGTAGGACGATTATGATCTTAAAGCACTGTGCACCAAAGCTGTCCGCATCCAACACGAAACTCTGTGTGTTTCCTTGCGGTGGTCAGGTGACCTTGCGTGGTAACCTAACTCTGCGCAGTATCACTACGACAATTTCGGCTACACCACGTTATAAAACCAAACCCACAGGCGTGGGAGACCTTTTCCCGGAGCCTATCAATCAGCGCCCCGCAAAATGCGTCCCTCATACCCGCACCCAAACGAAAAGCCGACTTAAATCCAAAAAATGTTCTTGCATGCCACATTCACTAACTTAACCCCTTTCCTTCCCTCATCAACACGCTACGTTCTACCTGAGCTTTAGCCCTCCATCCCTACAAAGTTACGCCATAGTTTTCATTAGTCCCGCCTCTCACATCGTCAGGCTCGACATCACCCCAGCACACCATGGGGGTGAGCCCTCTGCCCACCGCCCCTCCCTAACTCACGTGCCAATCCCCTACCACCCACCCGCCCGCCAATCACCCGAACCTAAATTTCACTCAAGTCCAACGTCGACCACTCATTCAGCCGCGTCCCCGCCCCCCTCCAATCCCCCCAAAAACGCTCCGCAGCGACACGGCGTCTGGTCCAGCCGCGTCTGACATCCAGCGCATCGCACGCGCCGCCGGCGGCGCCGCCGGCTTCCAACGTCCCGGCGCCGCCGCCGCCCTGGCGGCGGAGCTCCGACGTGCCGGCCTGACGGAAACCCAGCTCACCCGCCCCACCGTGATCACCTCTGCCGGCCCCGGCGGCAGCGACGGCGGCGGCGGTGGTCCGTGCCGCTGCACCAACGTACACACGCGTGTCAAGGCGCCTCGCGGTGACGGCCTGGAGAGCCTGGCCCTCGTCACCCCCGTTGCCTTCAGTCCGCAGCGCCCAGATCCGTCGTACGACGGACATAACCAGAGCGCCGATGGCGCACAGCTGGCGCTGACGGCAGCGGCAGCCTTGGTGCTACACATGGCGAAGGGACAAGTTGCCGGCGGCGGCGGCGGTGGCGGCGGCGGCGGCCGCTGGTTGGTTCGTGACCTCCTCTGGGTCATACCTGATATCAGCTGCGGCAGCTACCAATGCTTGGATGCGTGGGTACGGCAGTACTACGAGGACGCAGCGGCGGCGGCGTCGCCGGCGGCGGGAGGAGGGCGCGGCGTGAAGGGAGGCGTACTGCGGGATGCCGTACGACAGGAGCTGCAAGAGGCGCACCAAGGGCAAAGTCAGGGGGGAAAGAGAGAGGGAGCTAGTACGGCGGCGGGGGACATGATCCGCGCGGGCGTCATCCAGCAAGCTGTCATACTGGAGGCACTGGCGGGCGCATCGTACGACACCCCAGAGCTGTTGGTGGTTGGCCACGACGGGTTGTTGCCTAAGCTAGACATGTTCTACTTGCTTCGCTACTTGTTCCATTACCCAGTAGGTAATGGCTGTGTAACGGTTGGCGGTTGGTGGTTGGGAGGAATGCGGACCTGGAAGGTAGTGGAAGTTGTGAGACTCTGGGGGCCCCCAGAACGGATGTTGTCGCCCCCACCCCCCAAACGGCCGCTAACCTTCAAAACACATCCACACCTCCCTCCTCCTGCCTTCCCCTTTACCTTCTCTTTCACTTTCACCTCCATCTCGCCCACCTCCATCTCCCACCCCCTCCCTCCACCTCCCTATGTTGTTGTGTCGTGTCAGCCGCTCTCTCTTTCCCCCTTTGGTGAGAGGCCCCCTCCCCCTGATCCGTTCAGTTCCCCCCGCGGTACGGCCGGATTGTGTATTAATGACCTGGCGTGGTGCAGCTTACTTCACGAGCTGACAGATTTTACCTTCACTTCTGTTGCGCGTATTTCTGTTGTGGCCCCACCACCACGTATATATGTACGTATGTATGCATGTACGTATGTATGCATGTACATATGTATGCATGTATGTATATATGCATGTATGTTGATCATTAAGGACTAGGAGTCGCACGTCGAGTTGCACCGAGAGATATGTACGGCGGTCGCCCGGTTGCTCTGTGCAGGCGGGTCCAGCTCTGTGGCGCGATGACCGGCTCGAGGGGCCTTATGAGAGGCTAGCGGGCTGGCTGGAGGGGGTCATGCCCACTGGAGTAGTCGCTCCACAGGTGCGTGTGCGTTTGTGTGTGCGTTTGTGTGTATGTATGTATGTATGTATGTATGTATGTATGTATGTATGTATGTATGTATGTATGTATGTATGTATGTATGTATGTATGTATGTATGTATGTATGTATGTATGTATGTATGTATGTATGTATGTATGTATGTATGTATGTATGTATGTATGTATGTATGTATGTGTGGACCTTGCAAGTATCTGACCGGACCTGACACTGGCCAGGAACTAAGCTCTCTCCCTAAGCTCTGTGTGTGTATGTGTATGTGTGTTTTCTTTTCCTGAAGTCCGTGCAACCCTCCCCTCCCCTCCCCTCCGACATCCCCCAACGTTTTGCTTTGTTCCGTGTTGTACACCTCCTCCTCCCCCCTGCTGCCATTTATGTAATTCCTCTGCCGCCTCTTCCGCCCGCCCGGGAGCTGACGTCATCCAGGTTCTCCGCAACTACCTCCGTCGTCTGCTGGGGGCTCTTCAATTCTGTTGGCTCCAGGGGGTGGGTGCGCCGTCCGCGGGCCATGCGGTCTTCAAGAAGTTCATGGTGGATGCGGCGACTGTGAGGCTTGTGAAGAGGGTGAGTGACAGTTGTGGTTGTGGATGTGGGGGGGAGGGGGGGAGTGGTGGCGCCCTAAGTAATATTTTATTGCGTAAACTGTTTCACATGTGAGGTGGCGGTGGGTAAATTGTACCACATACCAGTGTTCGACACCCCGTACGGGGCCCGTAAGTTTTTGGCCTTTTTTCGGTATCCCCGTCAGGGCCCGTAGGACTTTTCGGTGGCTCCCGTAAGGAATTTAAGGATTTATAAGAGGCCGTACGGGGCCCTGTAGGGGAGAGGACGTACCATATAAAGGATAAGGCCACACACTTGATTCACTACTTCGTGTGGGGATGTTGGGACCTGCTGCTGATACCGGGGCGAAGCCACTGATTGATCAGGCTGCTGAGATCTACTCGCGTAAGGGTTATACACGCATTATTCACAAGTTGTTTTCTGACGTTAGCAAAATTAATATGGATCCATACGGAGAGGATGATAATGAGGAGGTTGCGACTGACCCAGAGATTGAAGTGCTGGTACAAGCAACATACCCCGCTAGTGACGATGAGGCTTTTAGTGACAGTGACTACGAGACCGACGTAGAACGAGATACCGATGAGTCGTGCGTGGATGAGGATTTTGATGATGAGGAGGAGGACGAGAAAGAGGAGCAGAAGGGATGGGCGGCCGCGGCGGCCAAGGCGCTTGGCTTTCGCTGAGTGTGCCGTGTCCCCGTGTGTAATGGTTCACGGGAAAATAACGAAAATAACGATTTACAGGGCAAAAAAATGCAAAGCGTCACTTTCCACAGCGTTTCAGCCAAGGACAGTGTCCCCGTAAAGGTTTTGCGGGGGTTACGGGGCCCCCGTAAGGTTTTCGGCCAGTACAGGAGCCTGGTACGGGGGCCCCTCCGTAAGGAAAATTTGGGAGGTACGGGGGATCCCGCAAGTTTCAGGAAGGTCAGTGTCGAACCCTGCCACATACCCCTCCTAAACCCCTCTTCCCCGCCCCCTCTGACCTGGTGTTTCATAAACCCTGAGGAACCTGACAACCCCCCTTGCACCTTACTTTCCTCCCCCCCCAGCATGCTTCACTCCCCAGCGGTTCGTCTTACCTCCCCCCAACATCCCCTGCAGCCCAATATCTTCTCCTGGATTGCCCGTCTTTGGTATCTGCTCCATCCGCCATTGTTCCTTCTTACCTCCAACCAACATCCCAACGGTCGCTTACCCGCTGACCCTTTTCACCCTCACGTGCGAAAATAATTCCCACCGAATCCCCACACATCGTTCCTCCCTCCCGCCCTATCCGCATCAGCGCACATCCTCCTCCTCCTCCTCCCCCTTCACCGCCTCCGCCACCTCGTCCTCGGACGATCAGCACAGTCAGCGCGCGGCTCGTGTAGCGGGCGTTGTGAGCTCCTCCCTGGAGCTGGTCCTCCGGTCCCTTAACAACCTAGTTGAGCGAGTGCACCACTCCTCCTTCCTCTACGTGCTCACCTCCCTGGACCGGTACGTATCCGTGGAGCGGTACGTGGGCTCCGCGGTGGTGCTGACGGCGGTGCTACAGCTGCAGGTGGGGACCTCCCGGGGGGTTTTAACAACTCTTCCGTTCAACTACTCTTCCGTTTGATTTTATTGGAATGTAGGTTTTTACTTGGGGCATTTTTAAATACTTTCACACGTTTGTTTGGCTGTTACGAGTTTGCGTTTGTATTTTTCCTTTCGCCTTGTAGCGCCCTTTTGCTGGGGGGAAATCCCCTTCGCTTGCTTTCTAAAAGTTTGTGGAAGGAGTTGTATAACCCGCCCATCACACCGCTCTCCCTCCGTGCTTTTTCCCCTTTCCCGCACTTTTCCATCATGACAGGCTGCGTGGTCCATGGCTGCCGCAGCAGAACTAGCCTCCACTGCAACTGCGGTAACAGCAGCAGTATCAGCAGTGGCAATGAGCTCCTCCGTTGCCGCCCAGGCGTCGTTATCGTCACCGCCGTCACCACTGCTGCCACCTCGCATTTGGGCGGTTGCGGTGGTGCGAGCTACAGCACGAACCGCCGTACTAACGGTCGCGACGGCGGGTCTCCGTCTGTTGGCTGCCTGCGGCGGCAGCACCGCACTCCTCCCCTGGAGCGTTGGACCGCTCCCTGGAGTGGAAGCGGCCCGAGTGAAGGGTGACGGAACGGGGACTCAAGGGGGGCCGGGATCATCATCACCAGCAGCAGCAGTAACAATTGCTACTGCGGTTGTAGCTGATAGCGCTGCCAGGGGAGCGGCTATGGCAGCGGCGGTACGGAGTCTGCTGACGCAGCGGCTATCGTCCCCGGAGGGCCTGCTTGCTGCCGCTGCTATACTGTTCGCCATCGCGGCTGCGGCGATGGCAGCGGCGAGGGTGGGGGGGACACTGGTGGCAGGAGCGGCGGCGGCGGGGGGCAGAGGAGGTGCAGGAAGGAGCAAAGCGGCAGCACTAGGGGATCAGCGGGCATCTGGGTCAAGTGCGCAAGAGGAGGAAGGGGGAAAGCTGGAGGGCAAGGAAGAGGAAGGGGAGGACCTGGGTGCGTGTTTTGAAAGGGGAGTCTGGCATGCGGAGCGCGTGGTGGTTCTGACGACGACAACAGCGGCAATGACGGCGCTGGTGTGCTTGAACTGGGCCGCGGCGGTGATGGCGGGAATGTATTTGGCGCCGATGGCATTGTGGCAAGGCTGGGTGGCGGAGCGGGTATGGGCGAGTTGCCAACAGACTAATAGAGGCAGCAAGGGAAGGGGGCGAGCGCTCCGTGTCCTGTGGTGGGCGGTCTGGCTGGTTTGGAATCCGCTGATGTACTTGTTGTCGATGTGGGCTGCTGCTGCAGCTTTGGGAGTCGCGGAGCCGGTATCGGTTTTGTCCGGGACTGCTTTGCAGGCCGTTTGCAGCATGTCTGCGACAACCTACTGGTACGCTGGCGTGGTCGTGTTGTCGGTTTGGCTGTTTGGGTTAAATGGTGGCGTGGCGGCGAACAGTACTTAGCGGAAAGCGTTTTCTAGGTTCGCATGTGGTGGTTTGGTTATTGAATTCTTGATATTGTGCGTTTTTGGCCAAGTTCATGCTACTGTAAGGCCTGTTCACTACTTGCAGGTCTGTGCGTCTCCTGGCGTTCTTAAGGCGAAATCGTTAGAGAAACCGTGGCAAAGGATATTCAGCTATACCTGCATTCCAAAGTTGTGTTGGTTCACTTCCCGGCCGCAGGGCCGTCCCATGTCCGGATGGTCAAAGTCAACCTTCCCATGGCGCCCGTACCCCAATTCCCTTCAGAACGAATGCGCATGCCGAATGTACAGAGTACACACCTATGATTTCTCGTGGGTTTTTGCTTCATGACTGTGCGGTGATGTTGCCATTACGTTGAAACATCCGTGCGGCTACTGTGCCGCAGCCCTTGGCCGACTAGTATTGGTGACTTCCATCTTCTGTAGGCATTCAATTTGTCTACAGGCTATCATAAGGACCTGCTGAACCTACCTGGACGTGACGACCTGTGACTGACCTTTTTTTGCAAGTCGTCAACCAGCATCCACCTGAAGCCTTGTCAGCACCTCATCAGAGATATCTGGATATCCAGTTATTCTGCCTGGGTGGGTGCGGATTTGATTTGTAAGGTCTTTCATTATCGACTCTGCTAGTGAACGGCTACAGCAGACTCAAGGATTTTGGAGGTCGTCACGTTTACCCGCAAATACTTGTGAATAGAATGATAGGACTTCACTAGCTTGCAATCTTTTTGATTGCGTCTGGTGGCAATTGTAAGGTCAACTTCACGCCCGGACATTTGACAGCAGACTTTGGCTGGTACGTATGCCACTAGGCCTGAAAGCTTACCTGCTTGCATGAGCGTAACGCAGATCGGAACATCAATGTCCATACGGGAACCCCGCCACGACCTTGTCTTCTGTCCCCGCGGACCGACAGCTAAAGTTTTGGACTCAATAATGCCCCCACGCCTTGCAACAATTACCACAAAATGGACATAACAGGAGTAACAGGAGCTTGACACGACAGATGATGACATCTGAACTTATGCAGCATCTTGCGGCAAGTTTGTCCGGTGAGTGTAAGACGGAAGGGGAAATTTGTGATAGCTTTTCAGAACGCGCGGATTGGGTGCCGCTTACGGGCGCATCCCATACAGCCTCGAAAAGGAACCCCGTCCCGACCTTTCGAAACCCTTGCAGAAGAACCTCTCAAGAAGGGTCTCCCGGTGAAGGATGAGCCACGGGTCCTTTTAGTGACAACAGTAGATGTTGGTGGGGGCATCTCTGAGCGCATTGAGGTGCGAGTCGGCGAGATCCCCGAGGACGTGGCACGCGCCTTCTGCCGCCGGTACAACCTGCCTGACGCCATTGTCGGGCCCCTGGCAACACACCTAGAGGACAACCTGCGAAAGGCCGCCGCAAACCACGCTGGCGGAGACGGCAAAACAGTGAGCACGTCCCCAAACAGCTTACATGCAAGCCTAACGACCCTTCCCCCCCCCCCAACAACAGCCCGTTGCAACTCCTGCTTCCTTACCGCCTTTCCGTACTCCTGTCTAGCACCCCTCTTCTTCAGAGGGGTTTCCCCCAAGTATTGATTTGGGATTTGGGTTATTAACGGTTTCGGTTTTACCGGTTTCGGTTTTCTCTTCCTGGGCTCCAAAAGAGGACAGACTGTGACTTTTTACTCCTGTGTGTGCGTGCGCATATACCCCCAGCGCCCGAGCGGAATCGTCCCGATCCAAATTGGCCCGTGCGCTGTGGTCACAGGGTCATGATGATGGACGGCGCGACAGCGCCCGCGGCGCTGACGGCGGCCGTGGGGGTCCTATGGACGCGCGCCATTCAGCCAGGTCGCCTTCCAAGCGCCTCAGCCCGGCACAGCAGGACATGGCAGGTGTGCCAAATGCCGGTGACGGCGGGACCGGTCCAGCGAACAATTCCTCGGGAGGTGGTGCCCCAGCTCCAGCCGCCAAGTTCAGCTTTGGCTCGGGCATGGACGAGCGATTTTACCAGCAGCTATCGAACAAGCTGCTGGACGAGTCTCAGGCGCCATCAGCTCGCCGCGGCAACTGGGTCAGCGCGTCCGAGGTCTTAAGCGGCGGTGGCGGAGGCGCAGCAGGCAGCGGCGGCGGCAGCGGCAGCGGAGGCGGCGGTGGCAGCGGCCACAACAGTAAACGCAGCTCCACAGGCCACGGCAACCACCATCCTGGAGGGCCGTACTCGTACGGCAAAAACAACATGGCGGGCCCGACGCTAAGGTGCGTTCGTGCGAGGGTGGGACTCACGCTCGAGGAGTCTAGCCCTAGGGCAGTCGTACGGAAAGGTTTCAGGGAAAGGGCCAAAGAAGGGAAAGGAATTGGGCGGAGGAAAGGGCACTGCCCTAGAAAAAGAAAGGACAGCAGAAGAAAGGGCACCAAGACGTACGGCATCTAATGGAGAAGAGATCGGAAAGCGCCGGGGAACACCGGAGACCTGCACTGCACGATCCTAACCGGGTTGCAGCAGGAGCGCATCGGGAGGCGCGAGTCCTGTTGAGGTGCGGGTTGTGTCGTGGGGAGTGCGAGTTGCGTTTTCCAGGGGAGGGGGCCGCGCTGAAGCGTAGCGTTTTGGCTAGGGACCGCTAAAGCCGGTTGCCGCCCCACCTCGTGGGTCTTATCGCAGGGACAGGGACAGCGTGTACCTGCGACTGTACGCCACAGCGCAGGAGCGGGCCGTACGGCTGGAGGAGCGGCGTCGAGCGGCGAATGCGGAGGTGGTGGCGGCGCTGACGCAGCGGCGCTCGACCATGTCCTGGATCAGCGCCGAGATGATGCGGGGACGGGGGGCGAACGGGGCGTACGACAACTATGGGGAGATGCTGTACGCGGAGGGCGTGGAGGCCCTGATGGCGAGGCTTAAGCGGGTGCGTGTGGGTCGGTGGGTCGGCGAGTGGGTCAGGTGTGCGCTTTTCATGCCGGCTGCTGAGCTCCTCTTCTTTTATGTTCCCAGGGGCTTAGGGTTTTGCTTAACCCCTGGCGCTCTAAACATCGGCAGTCGGTTTATCGATTCCTTTATATGATTTACCGCCGCTCCGAGTCCTGGCGACATCATTGTCATCGTCATCCCTCCGCCATTCCGTTGTTTCGTCATCCCCCCGTCACACCTCCTGGCCCATGATTATCGTTGTCCCATGCGTTCAGGCGGAAGCGGAACGTAAGGCCCGCGAGGCCAGGGAGATGGACGGGGCGACCTTTGCGCCCGCGATTACCAAGAAGGCCTGGGAGCTGAAGCAGCGAGAGCGCAACAGCAACTGCGCAGCCGCCGCCGGTATGAGCGCTGGCGGCATGGAAGCTGTGGAGGAGTATGAGAAGTGGCAGCGGCTGCACATGAGGGGTGTCCGCAAGTCGACGCAGGTGGGTGGCTGGGTAGGTGGCTTGGGAGAAGCCTCTGGATTCACGCCCCTGTTCTACTGCGCCGTACCGTACCGTACGGTATCTGTATGCGGGGATGTGTGTGTGTGGTGGGGAATTAAATGAAAGGTGGAACGGTATGCAGTTATTTGAAAATTAACTGGGCCCTTAGGCCACGTTGCCCTGTCGATATATGGCCTTGGCCAGAACCCCCCCCCCTTCCGGATATGCCTTTCCCACCTCCCCTTATCATTTCCCCTCCTTCTCAACCCCACCCCCTTCTCTCTTCCGGTCGCCCCCCGTTTCTGGACCCGTCTGTGTGTCTCCCACGTGTGAATACCCTGGCCCCCTTCCCCCCTTATTCGCGGGCAACAGGAGCGGCTGGAGCAGCTGCGGCAGCAGCGTGAGGCCGCCGAGGTGGCGGAGTGCACCTTCCGGCCCCGGATCAACAAGAACAGCGACCTGCTGATGATGGAGCGCTCGGAGGCGCTCAAGGTGGGGGTGGCCTGTAGGGGAGGGGGGGCTGCTAGGAGGGGCTCTTGTGCACGTCGGTGCGTGGTATTGAGGGAGGGGATGTGCTCTGTGGGGTGATGTGGGCGATGGTGGCGCTGCGGGCTCGCAGTAGTGATCACCATCATCATCATCATCATCATCAGGTCCCGGGGCTGCGCTTGGATGGTTGAAAGTATGGGTGTATGGATGGATTTTGAGATGTGTGTCCAGTTGCACAGCTCCCGGCCTCAGAGCCGACGCTGCGGGGCTCGATGCAGATCTGGACAAGGTGCAAAGTTTGTGTGAGGAGGGGTGTCGGAAGCTGTCAGGTGCACGGTGGGCGGGCCGGCGCCGGCTCGGGCTGGGTTGGGTTGGGTTGGGTGGGTTTGATTCTTTTGTTCGATTTGGGTCAACCTAACAGTTGGTCTCCCAAAAGGGATGAACAAAACTTTTTCTTTCCCGAAGGGTCCTGGTCCTTTTTCGGTTCTGACCGACCTACCTTTTTGGCTTCCTGACCTTTACGGGCTCCAACCCCTTTTTCCCCTTTCGCAACCGTGGCCCGGGTACCCTTGCTTGACATCTCCCGCAGCAACTCAACCTGACCCACTACGAGCAGCTGTTCGCGGACGCCCAGCGGCGCCAGATGAAGTAAGCGTGCGTGTCTGAAGGGCGGGAAGGGGTTTCGGAGCGGGAAGACAGGGGAGGGAGGACAGGGGAGGGAAGGAGTCAAGGGGGTGGAATGGGAGGACGGGGGGCCCGGCTGGAGCTGCACGGGACGGGGAGGAGGGGGAGGAAGGGGGAGGAGTGCTGCAGCGGTATGATTGAATATGTGAGTATGTCGGTTACGTGGAGGTGGTGGTGGTGGGGCGGTGGTGGTGGTGGTCAAAGAGGGCCCTCGCAGACCGGACCATGTGCAATCTAGGCGAGACGAGTCCAAAGGCCTGCTAAGGATCGATCGATTGAGTAAAGACGAGAGGTAGGCGGACTGGTGAGGAGGCGGCAGGGCCTTGTTGGCGAGGTTGAAAATATACTTATGTATACATATATATATATATACATATGTGTGTATACATATATATACATATATATACATATATATGTATACATATGTGTGTATACATATATATGTATATATATATGCATTCTCTTCCTCATATGTATATGACGAGGTAGGGGTTTGCGGCCAACAGGCGGCGGGTAACGGGGGTTGTTTGTGCGGAGAGGGTGCTATGGTGATGGCATCTCCCTCTCTCCCCTTTCCTTGCATACTTCTGGCGTATCAGTATATCCTTGGCATCAGATCCATTCGTTCGTGGCTCGTCTTCCCCACCCCCCACCTGCGAATTTGACCCCATGTAATGGCAACACCTGGGGTTCATTGAGCGCGTTGAATTGATTACCGCTGCTGCTGCTGCTGGCAGTGGGAAATGTGCCTCAGCACCTTCCCGGACTGCTCTCCGGTGATTGCCCTTCCCTTTCAATTGCGTGCGCTTTTGCTGTCATGTCCTCGGCCTGTGCGTCGTCTTTGTGGCTGCGCATGGCGCCTGCGCCGCCGGAGGTTTCTGTACCTCTTCATCCTCCTTTCCCCCGTCCACGTCCTCCTCCCCCTCCTCCTCCGCCTCCTCCTTTGCCTCCTCCCCCTCCTCCTCCTTCGCCTCCTCCTCTTCCCCTTCAGTTCTGCTTCTGGTACACTCTTTACTTTTCAGCAGCTTCAATCGTTCGTGGTTCGTCCTTCTCCCTTCTCCTCCTCTTCCCCCTCCTTCGCCTCTTCCTCCCCAGGCTTGAAGATCTGCGGAACTGGTATCCAGAGGGAGTTACCTTCCAACCGCAGGTACAAACGGTGGCGGTTGGGGTGGTTGCGTGTGTGGAGGTTGGGTGGGTGGCGTGTCTTAAGCACTAGCGTGTATTGGTGGAGGTGGATCTGTGTTCCCTCCACTGGCGGATCTCTCCTCCCAGCAGGCGACCATGCCTTCCATATCTCCACCCACCCACCCACCCACCCACCCACTCACGTCATTTCCGTCATTTCCGTTCTCCTCTTCTCAGTCTTTCCTTGTCATCAGCTTCACTCGCTCGTGGTTCGTCTTTCCCCCCTACCCCGCTTTGGACGTCGACAGGTGTTGTTTTTTTGACTTGCTTGCATATACTCCCCCCTTCCCTCCCCCCTTCCCTTTCAAAGGTGAACAAGGACCCCCGGGCCCTGGAGTACCTCCAACGCAGCTGGGACAAGCTCAAGCACCCGCACCAGCCACAGAGCTCCAACGGCAACGCCCCGGCGGGAAGTACGGCGGCCCTCACGTCGACTGCTTCCACTTGCACGGGGGGCGGAGCAGCAGGAGTGGGGCCAGGCGGGTCGCAGGTTCCACCGGTGGTGGCTCGACTGTATGCGGAGGCGGAGCGGAAGCAGGTACTGGGCTGGCTGAGGGCTTATGTTGTAGGGGGAACAGGGCCGGATGTAGAGAGGGGGCAATAGCGGTTGGGTTGGAGTTGCTGTCTGATGGCGGCGTGTGTGGGGGCCCGGATACAGGTCGCGCCGCCGTAGGTATGAGGATGTACGGCGTAGGTGTATGGGTGTACGACGCAGGTATGAGGATGTACGACATAGGTGGCTGGTCCTGGATCATTGGCTTCCTGGTGAGCTTCCTCCCCAGGAGCTATGGGCCGCTGTTGTTGTTGTTGGGCCGCTGTTGTTGCATTATATCGCTCTGGACTCGCTAGTCCCGTAGTTGGTGGTTTGTCTGGACGCTGTCAGTAATGGACCCTTTGTATTGCATCTCCTTGCATGTCTTATTGCGTGTGAAGATATAACTCCCCTTCCTCCTTTCCGACTTCCGGGCCCCCTTCCCTGCACCCGCAACCGCAGGCCAAGCTGGAAGCCGCCCGTCAGGCTGCCAATGGCCCTATCGACCCGGTCACGCATAAGCCCCTCTTCCAGCCGGACTGCGGACGAGGCCCCCGCGGCGCGTTGGGTCACTCGCGAAGCAGCCGCCGCGGCGGCCACATCGGCGAGCATCTCTACCGTACGGCGCAGGATCTGGCGGCCAAGCGGGCGGCGGCGGAGGAGGCGGAGCAGCGAGCAGCGGTAGAGGCGGCCACGCGAAGCCGTACGACACGTGAGTAGTAGTTGGCGGGTTGTGTGGGATCCGCAGCAGTAGCGGCTGGTGCCGATCTCTCTCTGTGTGTGTGCACGTGTGCGTTTGTGCATGTTGTGTTTTTCTTGGCGTACGTCGCCCTATGGTCTGCACGCCTGCCGTCTTCCGTAGCTGTTTGAGTCCGAGTGTCACCACCACCACGGCCACCTCACGCCGACCCCCTACCTCGGCTAAATCACACGCGGCCAACCTCGTCCTCCTCTTCCCTTCCCCCCCCCCCTTCTCTCTCGCTCGTGGTTCGTCTCTCCCCCCTTCTCCTCCCCCCCCCTCCCCCCCCTCCAACACATACAGAGGTGAGCCAGCGCATCTTTACGGATTTGAAGCTCAAGCGCTTCCGCCAAATATTCGAGTACCTGGACGAGAACGGCTCGGGCTCCCTGGACCTGCTGGCGGTGCTGGGCCGCTCGCCGCCCCTGGAGCAGCCCGACGCGGAGCCCAGCCGCCACCCGCGGGCTGACAACCTGGACAGTGAGGTGCTGCTGGACGTGGAGGCGGCGGCGGACGTGTGGGCGCGAGCCAACGGAATGATGTTGACGTGAGCTCACGGGAGGGGGCGGGGGAGCCGGGATGGGATCGGGTTGTAGGGGATGAATATGCATGATTTGGGGTTGTACACAAGTCATCCTCCCGCCCGACAGTTAGGGTTTGTTGGGCTAAGAAGATGATGATTGGTTTATTACAAACCAAGGGAATACCGAGCGGAGGAAGGCAAAGGAAGAGGGCAGAAGGCGGTGACAAGTCATTTTGATATGGCTGGGGAGGGGGAATAGGAGGTGAAGGGAGGGGGATTGGGACAGAGGAGAGCTTACCCCCCTCTTCAAGCAGTTGTGGGAGTAGCACAGGTAGCCCAGGAAGCCGCCCGCGGACATTTAGGTGGTTGTAGCGGGTGACCCTCTTCGAACCCCTAGAAAACCCTCTTCCCCCGAACCCTACGACCAAATCTCCAGTCCACCAGCCCACCATATCCTCTTACCCCCTCCAACGTTCGTGGTTCGTCTTACCTCCCCCACACACACCTTCCCCCCCATACAAAAATCCCCTGTCGAACCCTACACATGAACGCAGGAAGGAGGAGCAGCGCCTCGCCGCCTCCAACTCCCAAGTCGACAGTCCCAGCGCCCAGGGCGGCGGCGCCGACGACTCAACAACCGACGGCAACAGCCCCTCCCACAACCACCCCAACCAACTCAACCACCACCACAACAGCAGCAACAACAACGGCAACAAGCCGCCGCGGTCGTCCGCCACTTCCCAGCAGCTCTGCGGTCCATCGGGCTCTGGTTGCGGCGGCATGTTGTTGTCGGGTCCGTGCCCACCCATGAGCATTGAGATGTTTATGAGTTGTATGGAGGAAGCGCTGCGGCTACGGCGGGGCCCCCGGGCCTACCTGGTGCCGTCGCCGCCAGCCAAGCAGGAAACCTCGCACACGTTCCGGCCGTCCATAAACCCGCGGTCGAGGGCCCTGGCTGCCAAGAGTCGCCCAGAGACTGCCTCTACGTTTGAGCTGCTGCACCGCGTGGCTGCCAAGACGGCGGAGCGGCTGGAGGTTTTGCGGCGGAGGAAGGAGGAGGCGGGCATGGCGGGGTGCACATTCCAGCCGCAGCTGAATTCCAACAGGTATGGGTGTCGGGGAGGCGGTTTGCGCGTGCGTGCGTAGGAAACCGGCATAGTGAAAGCACACACACACACACAATTTCAATGTGGGAAAAGACCGAACCCCCTCTCACCCTTAGCATTACTGCTTTCTCTGCTTTTTTAGTCCTGGCGGCTTAGGTAGGTAGTTTTTCCGACATCATCTTCACTTCGTCATCCCGAGGTCGCGGTCTTCACGGACGCCTTTCGGTCAGTTCTACGTCTGGTTACACTCTTGCCCTGGCAGCAGCTTCACTCGTTTGTGGTTCGTCTTTCCCCCCTTTCACCCTCTTTTAGCTCTGATATGATGATGATGACCTGTTTTTAGTCCCGGAATTTAACCGGCGTGTTATTGGGATTCTTTCCTTCGCCCTTTGCAGGAACAGCCTGGGCGGCCGTGTGAGCAACCGCAGCCTCTCCGCCAGCCACACCGTGTCCCTGGATCCCTCGGCCTTTGCGCTGGCGGCCGCCGGCATCGCCGCCGCCGCGGACGAAAGCCCCACGTCGCGCCTGCGCGCCACCGTCGCCGCGGCCGCCGACGCCGAGGCGGAGCGTCGGGACCTGCAGCAGCACTTGCAGCACCTGCGGATTGCAGCCGACGCAGCCCTGGATATGCAGGTGCAGCTGATGCAGCACCAGCAGCAGGGGGGTGAGGGGGAGTGCGACGGACAGGATGTGGACGATGACCTGGAGCGGTTCACGTTGTTGGAGCAGGAGCTTCGAGACATGCAGGTGGGAGGTGGGGGTTGCTGAAGAGCTGGCGTAACAGCTTCTACTCGTCCCGTTGCTGAGTCCCCGTACACACCCATTCTCCATGCTTATGTTCCCTTCAACTACCCCACCATATATCGTACTCATGCTAAATCCCTGTTCTCCATGTTCCATGTCAAAATGCTCCTCATGTTGAAGTTGCTTTTCAATTTCCCCTCAATTTCCCCAACGTATCTGAATGGTATATAGCCAAATTTGCAGAAGTTTGTAGGATAATCAATTTCAAAAAGAATTATCCAGATCATAAATGCGCAACCCCTCCCCCCGGTCCTCCTCCTACACGGTGCCAGGCACTGACGCAAGTCGCCATCGACGACCACGACCGCCAGCAGCAGCTGCTGCGCCAGGCAGCAGAGGCCGCGCAGCAGCAACACCAGCACCAGCACCACCAACAGCAGCACCAGCACCCGCAGCAGCAGCAGCTTCAACACCACCAGCAAATACCGCCGCAACAGCAACAACAGCTCCAGCTCCAGCAGCAGCAACAACAGCAGCAACAGCAACAGATGTCGAATAGCAGCCTCAGCAACTGTGCGGATGCTCCTCCTGCCGGGGGGCTGCAGGAGCTGGCGGCCGCACTGGGTGTGGGTGTGGTGGGTGTCTCCTGGGAGTCGGTGGCAGCCCAGTCAGCCAGCGTAAGCTCCTGAGCTGTGCTGCTGAGCTGCTTTTTCTCTCCCTCTCCCCCTCCCTCCCACACTTTTACCTTTCCCCCTCCCCCAGGGATTTGTTTGCTTCTTTCTTTCTTCTGGCCGGTTTGTTCCAGAGCTTGGTTGCTCGCGGTCTTGTCGGTGTTTGGGGGTTTTGAAATTCATTTGTTCTGCGGGTGGCTGTTTGGGTGGCTGTTTGGGTGAGTGGGTGGGTGGGTAGGTGGGTGGCGGTCCTCGATGGGTGATTTTGGATGGAGCGCCTCCCCGCCCGCTGTGGTTGCTAGGAGCTGCTCGTCGTGTGTTGGTCGCCTCATCCAACCCAAACGAACCCGCTCTCAACCCCAAACGAACACCCGCCGCCGCTACACACGGAGATTGGCCAGCTACTCGGGGACGGAGGGAAGCAGCGGAGCAGGCGGGAGGCATGACGGGTGTGAGGCATGATCTCAGACCTGAACATGCACGTGCTTGTTCCTGTGGGGGCGCACTCGTATGTTTTGTATGTGTGTGCCTGCCTTAGGAGGAGGAGATGGAGGAGGAGGGGGAGGAGGCGGTGGCATCCCAAATGGGCGCGTTGTCAGTGGTGAGAGTGATCTGACTCTGTGTGGGGCCCCCGGGGAGAGGAAGTGAAGAACAGTAGAAGGGGGGAAGTGCTCTGTTTGCCGTCCTTCCATGTAATCCTGGCGTTCAGCTGGTCGGTGATCCCCCCGCAGTAATTATATGTTGTGATTACGGTGTTCATTTGGAATACTGCCCACCCGTTGCATGATGGTGATGGTGGTGGTGGCTGTGGGGCTGTCGTTGTGGTGCTGGGGGTTTTGGGCGTTCTGTTGAGCACGAATACGGCAGGTAGCTGGCTGTGAGGGCCCTTTGCGGTTTTCCTTTCCCGCCCTTTTGGGGATACCGCATCCCCCATGTTCCCCTGGCGGATACGGACCGCGTGATTCCTTGCGCGCAAAGGCGCACATCAAGCAGTTTATTCTTTTTCTTTCCTCTCTTTGGGTTTTTTACTTGAGTTTTAAGTACTCGAGTAACTTGTCGCCCCTTGCCCCCTTTTGTTAAAGTACTTCATGATTAATGGGCGGCCAAAATGTGACGGACGGACCTTTCTTCACCTCATGAATGACATCATGCCACAATCTAACTATCGTCTGTGACTTGCCGTATGCCTGCATGGCCCAAATGGTCGTGTAATTGTCTCTTTTTTTTGCATCAATCGGCGACCCGATTTGATGCGAAGGACTTTCATCTTCCGTACATTCCGTACAGCTCGGCCCATTTCTAGTACGCTTGGCGGTAGTGCTGCGAAGTGGGCAACAGGTGGACGGGACGGAGCGGGCACTGTCCCCAGCCCCCAGTGGGGTAGTTCGCATGTGCACTCGAGAGGCGCGACACGCATACACGTCGCCCTGTGTCACGTACATGGGTTGATGATCGGCGGGTGATGGTGTTTGTGAACTAGAGGATAATCCGGATGATGTGTCCGGCTTGTGGGTGCCGGGGTTTCGGAAGCGATCGATGGCCGTGGTGACGGCGATGCTCTCGTTCAGGGGGTCGTGTGTGTGCGGACATGCCACACAACAAACACACCTCCCTTGCGCGCGCAACGGAGCTGTGCGCATGCGCGCGCGCACGAAGTCTGAAGTGGCGCGATGCTAGAGAGAGGTATTGGTATTGGTTGATGAACGCACGACCGGGGCACGGTAATCAACAGGGCAATGTAGGTCTCTTTTTCCTGCCTTGGGCGGTTCCCTGTGCTCTGCGACGGGAGGGCGCGGGCTCGCGCTGAATTTGAAGCGGAAAACAGGGAGCGATGGGCGGGGGAGGACGTACCTGAGGAAGGCGGAACGACGCGCAGTGAGGTATGGTGGTCGTGGTGGGCGAACTGGCGATGTTAAGTAACGGAGGCGGTGATGGATCGTAGTAGCGGTAGTGCCTGTTGCAGTGGTGGTGGTGGTGGTGGTGGTCGGCAATCCTGACGTGATCCGAACTTAGGCGACCGCCCGTTGGGACTTCCTAGGTTCTTTAGAATTTTTGAATTTGGAAGAGGCTAGTAGTAGGATTGGGACCGCTCGGTTCGGTTGCTTAGAGAGGCGGTTCCGTATGGCCCTCGGAGTGTCCTATTTTACTCTTTAGCAGAAGGCTTGCCGGTTGAAAGGTTGCGACTTTATAACAAAATCTGTAGAACTCCGCGTTTTGGGGGATGGATTTTAGCTGCTGGAGCCGGCGTTCGCGCCGCTTTCTTCCATTTGGCAGGAAGGCTTTGAAAACTAACTTCAGGAAGAGCCGCGTGGTATACAATCAGGGGATATGTGCCACACGTGCGCGGTGAAGGCGGTGGAGGATGTTCAGCATTATAGGGTGTTTTTGCTGCAGCTGGTCTGGTTGACAAACTGGGTCGGGTGTCTTAATGCGGAGCGTGGTCGTGTTTCTTTATCCCTTTCCCTTTCCTTGTCGGCTGCATGACAGAGGAAGAACGTGCACGGATGCCCTGCGGCTGAAAATAGATGTGTTGAAGGCAAAGGGCTCTTAGATGACCTATGTTGTGACGTTTCGCCCGGCGTGTGTATAAGGCATCCGAAGGACTTAACTTGATGAGCATGCCTTACACATGTCCCAGGTGAGGACTTGTTTGGTCGTTTGGCATACACTCCCTGATGGCTCCCCCAGCTGTGGCGTGTGGGGGATAAATTTGGGCGTTGTGACTGCGGTTATCCTTCATCCTTGCACGGAGTCTTGACGCCATTTTGAAGACCGTCGAAGACCACGCACAAAGAGATCAACGAGTGCGGCACACGAACTTAAAACCAGGATCGCCCTCCCCTATTTACTTGTGCCCATGTGAACCCAGCGGGTAACCTCACTGAGTTTTCCTTCGGACACGATGGTGCAGTGTTGGGATGGCGGTTGGATGAATCCACCGGTGGTTGGATGGAACCTTCCTTCTCTACTGGCGAGATCTAGAAGGACCCCTTAAGGGCCGGGCGAGAGTGTGCAGTGTACTGTTTGGGGGAAGGGAAAGGCACCGAAAGGGGCAGTGTTGGCGGCTGCCGCGGCGAGAGCGGCTGCTGCGGCAGCAGGTTTGCATTCCGGGCCCGTTCCCCCTTCTCCTCCTCCTCTGTGCCATCCACGCGTGTGTCTTGGCATTCGGCTTTTCATGGCGGTGCGTTGCATTCCCCTCTTCATCCTCTCTTCATCATTTCTGCCCACCAGCAGGCGGCCGCCACAGCCGTAGCTACGCCGTGGTGAGGTCTCGGCTGAGAGGCCGTCCATAGCTGCTTGTGTAGACTGCGGGGCGACGCGTTTTCGAACGTCCTGTGTGGAAAGCTAATGCAAAATGGTGACGTGCTAGTTTGGGAGATGGGTTTTAAGGGCATGGACGACAAACGGGCTGGACCACGAACATCTCGCTGTGTGGTTGTGAAAACAGACGCATGTGGGGGTTGCGATGTTTTGGGTTGTGTTGTGTTCTTGCTACAGGCGTCCTTGGGGCTTGCCGCACGTCGATGCGTGCAGACGCCCGCGTGTGCGTGACCATCTTGAAAGCCAAGGAAGCTTCACATCACGCAACCACTACCACAACTACCATCGCCACGGTCACCACCACAACCCCGTCAGTAAAGCCTAGCTCCATGGCGCAGTTACCGGTTGATGACTGGCTGCTGATGCAATTTATGATTGTGAGTTAGGGGTTACAGCTTCACCCGTGGCCACTAGCCCGGCAGTCCCTACCTACCCTCGTCCTTCTCACCGATGTCAGTTTCCGCGAAGTTCGTGATTTTTTCAGAGTCAGCACTCACCACCACCACCACCATCTGCATCCAGTAGAATCTGCCGGATCAACCCCACTCCTGGTCGCTCGCAGGTCACCTCATACATAATGTTTCCTCCGAACACATCCAGCAAGCATACGTCCAATAACGCGGTTGCACGGCACGCCGTTTTGCGGAATGAGCTTTGCAATGCAAGGCAATGTGCACCACAGGGAAGTGCCCTACAGCTGCTTGCCACGAAGCGGCTGAAATTGTCTGTCTGTCTGCCAAACTGCCACCCTGCCTGCCTGCCTGGTTCCCAGCCGGTGTTGAGTCCTACAGGTTTCCAAAGCTTACGTAATAAGCCGCCGTCTAGAACGGCCCCCCCTCCCCTCCCGGTCTATCCCGGTCCCTAGTCACGGCACTCGGGTTGTATGACATAGAAACCATGTTCCATGCGTTTGTGGTGAAGGCGACATATTCCCTTCTTAGACACAGCGATATAAGGGTCACGTAAGCTTCAAGTATATTAATACATTGACATATCATGGGCGCACGTTTGTGTATAATCCATAATCGCGTCCGCCATTCTTGGGATGCCATTTTGGGAGCATGTGGCTATACGAGGTGATATCCACGGAGGGGGATCCACGGGGTTCGAACCCATTGCCCTGCCCACCCGTCACCTCCCGCCGTCAGCTAGGCCGCAGCTGCATGCGGCTACGGAATCCGCAGCTGGGCGGCAATTTCGGATTACCAAGGAGGCTGCAACTGCTCTGACGGCGGTACGAGCCCCAACGACATGGTCCGATGGTCGTACGAGAACATGCACAGGAACTGCGGTGAATGCGTTGCAGCGCCGCTGCAGGTGGTGGCCGATCCGGCTGCAGCCGCCGCGACGGCGCTGTTGTACACTCTGAGACGGCGGCTGAGCGCCTCTAGCGGAATCCGCTCGCTGCGGAAGGCGGTGCGGTACAGGTGCGGTAGCGGCGCGGGCGCCATTTGGAACGGCGTCTCCTGCATACATACATGCAGACAGACAGACAATAAACACACATATATAGCGCACACACAGCCGACGTCGTTATCGCCATGACAATTGCACACATGTTACTCGTTAAGAAGCCAACAAATAAAAACTTGGGCTATGCATGAGTACGACACACCGGTACGGCACCTGGCCTCTCAAAACCAGTTCCAAAAATGCAACTAAAACCCTCATGCACAGGGACAAAGGCTTCTGGAAGGCAACTCTAGCAAATGGCATAGAGAATCGGAACCCCCCTCACAAGCCCGGATGATCCTCACCCTGACAAAGGGGAAATTACTAGACGGGCATCACCCCCAGAAATTACGCAAAATCACCACCTACAGGTAAAAGAGGAAAAGGGAAGGGAAGCCAGGGATTTGCCTAAATCGTACCTCGGAACGCAAGAGCCTTCGGCCCGATGCCAACCGCTGAGGTCTTCCTGCGTTGACGCCGACGTTGACGCCGACGCCGCCAGCGGCGGCTTCTTCCCACAACTCCTCCAACACCAGTACCGGCGGAGTGACTTGACCCGGCAGGGGTACCACCTCCACAACATCCCCCACCCTCACCACCTCCATCGCCGCATCCTCATCCAGAGGCGGAGCCGCCGTCGCCGCCGCTGCCAGTGCCCTCTGATCACTAACGCTGCCGCCCGCACAAACGCGCCGCCGTACAAATCCTTGGTACTGCCGGTAGCCGCTCCTAGCCGTCGCCGCCGCCGCCGCCTCTGTCGCTGTATCGTCTGCCAACCAACGCGTGCAGCAGTAGCAGCTTCGCTCCTGTTGCTGCTGCTGCCGTTGGTGGCCCGCTAAGCTTGCCGCCGCCGTCACCGCTGCCGCCGCGTCGGCCCCAGAGGCGGGGTTCGGGGATGCTTCCGTCGCCGGGGCGTCGCCACTGCCGGCTGTACGGCAGCCCCCAAGCATTACCGCCTTCCGCGGCGTTGTTGGTGTTGTTGTTCTTGTACCCGTGCCATTAGCAACACCCCCTCCTGCCCCCCCAGCACACGTAGTAGCAGCTCCTGTGCCAGCGGCTGTAGCACCTGCAGCTCGGCTACCCGAGCCGGCCACCGGCGCTTGATCCCCTACACCGCCGCTGACGCCGCCAGCTGCGGCGGCAGCCAAATGCCTTCGAGCTACGAGTCCCGGCGATCCTGACGGCGCCGCCTCCGTACCGCCAGCCGTCTGCTGCTGCTGCTGCCGCGGCGGCGGCGGCGGGGACGGCAACGGGGCCCGCGACGGCGGCGGCAGCGGAGTTCGCTGCCCTGACGTCTCTGCCGCTGCCGCTGCACCCCCTCCCGAACTTCCACCACCCGGCTTTGCCCTCACCACCTTCGCCGCCGCCGCCGCCGCCGCTGCCGCCGTCGCCGTCGCGATTGCTGGAACCTCCCCTGCTGGACCAGATGGACCGCCGCCGCTGCCGCTTCCGCCGCCACCCGCTTCCGCCACCTCCACAGGTCCTCCCTGGGCCCCCTGATGGTGATGATGCATCTGGCCTTGCCTCTGTGCCAACCCGTGGCCGTGCCCTGCTTGGGTGATTGCAGGAGAGGGGTGCGGAAAAAGGGGAGGAGACCGTGGAGGCGGAACCACCGCCACCGCCGCCGCTGGCTGGGGCCCTGAAGCTGCCGCCGCCGCCGCCGCCGCCCCCGCTGGGAAGCCCGACGGCAGCGATCCGCGGAGTATGGCCGCCACTGCCCATTCCTTGTCCACGACGGGAATGGATAAGGACCGTACGGCACGACGTAGAGCAGCGGGAATGTTGGTTCCGGAGCGGAGGCGGTGGGAGGAGGGGCAAGCCCCGGCGGCTCCGGCGGTGGCGGCGCCGTCAGCAGCGGCATCTGCTGCTGATGGGGCGGCGGAGTCCACCACCACTAGGTCAACCGCCGGTTCCATGACGAAGCTACCCGCCTGCGTGTTGAGGGGGTGGGGGCGGGGGTGGGGGATGGGTGTCTGTGTATGTGTGTGTGGGGGGGGGAGGGGCAGAAATTGTCCAGCGATCAACTGGGTTGCTTGAGGATGAGGGTGCTGTGCTGTGCTCTGATGCGATGTGATGTGATGTACGGCTCCCCACCACCTCCGCCACTACCATCACCGTCCTTCCACTCAGGTGTTCTTCCTTACCCGTCCTCCTACTTCCCCCTCACCCCCCACCCCCACCCCGTCAACCCCCCCTACCACGACATGCGCCCCGGTCACTGCGGCCTCCCAGTGGTCCATGATGAGCGCCCCCGCCACCGACAGCACCCGACCGAAGGTGGACCGGAAGGCGGCATCTCCCGCCAGATACACACGAACACCTGGACACACCGTGGGGTTGAGGGGGATGAGGGGGGTGAGAGGGGTGAGAGGGGTTGAGGGGGATGCGGGGGGCGAGAGGGGTGAGAGGGGGTGAGGGGGATGAGGGGGGTGAGGGGAGGGGAGGGGAGTGAGGGGGGAAAGATGAAAAAGCACCTAATCACCAGACAGAAATTCACCAACCCGAATTCAGCACCCCGAGCCGCCGTACCTGCAAAGACGCCGCCTGGAAGCAGATGCGGCTGCGGCGCATGTAGCAAGTGCTCTCCCGGAGGCCGGGCAGCGGGGTCAAGGAAACGCGCCGCCGCCACGCTGTCGCGGAGCCATTTCGCGGACAACACCGGCACACCGCGCGCCAGCGGGCCCAGCATCTTGCATGTACGGCGGTCTGCGCAGTCCGCAATCACCACGTCGGGAAGCTGACGGGCGCTGCAACACCCCCAGCTGGCGGCGCCGCCAGCCGGAGACGCTGTCCCGGCGGCGGCGGCGGCGGCGGCGGCGGCGGCGCCGAGGGCCGGCGGCGGCGGCGGCAGGTCTTCCATAACCATGCCGCCGTTGCGCTGGATGAGATTGACGATCTCGCGTCGGGTTGTGCGGCAGGCGTCAGCTGCGGCGGTAGTGCCATCGGCGGCGGCGGCGGCGGCTGCCGCCGCCGCCTGCGCCGTCGCCGATGCATGCGGCGGTGGCTGCGGCGGTTGGCGGGTGAAGCCGGTGACGAGAAAAGTGACGCCGCCAAAGATGCCGCAGCGCTGCCGTTTGCTCCGTTGAAGTATCAACTCCAGGGGCGCCTGACCGCTGGGCCGTTTTCGGAGCCGGCCCTCCGGCGTGCCGGGGTCGCTGGAACTGGGCTGACTGAGAAGCGCCGCCGCAGCGGCGGCGGAGGCGGCGGCGGCGCCGCCGCCGATGCCCGTGCCATGCGCCTCAGGAGCCGGAGATGGCGTCCGCTGCCGCCGGACCGCTGCCCTGCAGCCGCCGCCGCCGCCGCCGTCGGCGGTGGCCACCTTTGTGGGTGTGGTGCCGGCTGCTGCTGCTGCTCCCGCTGCTACTCCTGCTGCTCCAGCAGCGGCGGCGGCTTTCCTGCAGCTACGCGGCGAGCGGCGGAGCGGTTGAAGCGCCGGGTTGGAGTGACGGCGGCGGCGGGAGGGACTACCGTCGCCCGTATCAACACCGCCGTCACCGCCGCCGCCGCCGCGAGCGGGACCCTCATCCTGGTCTTCAAATGCGTCCTCTCCGCCTGCAAGCACCACTTCCACCGGGGCCACCGCCGCCGTCGGCGGCGACGCTACAGCGCCCGACTTCCGGCGACTCCTGCAGCGGCTCCCAGCCCCAGCTGCAGCTACGGCCGCCGCCGCCGTCGCCGTCGCAGTGGTCTTTGGCGTTAGAGCAGCGGCGGCGGCAACAGCGGCGGCGCTCCGCTTCGCACAACTGCTGCCGCCGCCATTGCGGCCGCCGGCCACCAGGGCTGCTAAAGGCTTATCGTCATCTTCCTCCTCGTCCTCCTCGTCCTCGTCCACGTCGTCCTCCTCGCCCTCCTCCGCTGCGGCCGTCGGCGCCGCCGCCGCCGCCGCCGCCGCCACCCCCGTCGCCTTTCTGAGGTCCAGGCGTCTAGGGAGGCGGGTTGGGCGGGGAACGATGTTGGTAAGGGCTACTGGGGGCTGCTAATGACATATGCACTCGCTTTTGAATAACAGACAAACAAACCGACAAACAGACAGGCAAACAGACAAACAAACAGAACAGGCAAGCAGACAGAAAGACGAACAAACAAACATATAGGCAAACAGACAGACAGACAAACAAACAGACAAACAGACAAACAGACAATCAGAATTTGAATGTTACACGCAGAAGCAGTCACTAAGACCACCCCGGGAAATCCCCCCCCCACCGCACCCTCCCCCTCCCTCTCCCTCCATACCGACTGCGCCTTGGCTCCGGTTGCGCCGAATTTCCCCCTCCTCCTTTCCCTCCTTTGCTTCTCCCGCCTCCTCTTCCTCCTTCACCACCACCACCACCACCACCATCCTCAGCGCCAATTGGCAGGGACGTCCGGCCCGGCTTTGCGCTGCTGCGAACTTGCTGCTGGTGCTGCTGCCGGTTTTCAGCAGTGGCAGGCCGAGTCGCCTGCACTGTTGCAAGGGGTCGCGCGGGCTCACCGCCAACCGCCTGGCGCCGCACTGCCGCCGCCGCCGCCGTCACTTCTGGCTGCTCCGTAATCTCTTCCACGCTCCGAAACCGCTTATGTGGCCGCGGTCCGCAGTCCCCGACTCGTGCTGACCTCCTCCCGCTGTCCTGCCCGCCGCTGCCGTGCACCGCCGCCGCCGTTACCTCAATGACGTCGTCGTTGTCGCTGTCGTAGTCGTCGCCGCTGCTACTGCCGGCGTCGTGGCCGCTGTCCGTTGCTACAGCCGACCGGTGGAATTTGGGACCGGACGATGCGGTCGGTCCGCTGTACCGCCGCCGCTTGCGGGCACCGCTGCCGCCGCCGCTGCCGCTGCCGTCGGGCCGGCGTTCCGGTGCCGTCGCCGACGGCAGCAAGGACTTCGCGACGGATCCACCACCGCCGCCGCCAGCAGCAGCCAGCGCGGCCCGTTGCACTGCACCTGGTGGCACCGGCGACGTCGGCGGGCGTGGCGGCGGCGGCGGCGGCACTGATTGGCGGCGGCTCGCCCGCCGACCCCATTGCAAGCCGTTGTCGCCGCCGCCTCCGTCACACCTGCCGCCGTTGCATCTGTCGCCGCCATCTGCCCGTACAGCAACGCCGTCATGCGCCGCAGTATTATTGACTTGCATCTGCCCCTGCCGCTCAGCCATATTACGTTTTGCAGTACCATCGCTGTACAAATCTCTAGCTTGTACGGCTGCTGGTGCCGCCGCTAATGCGTGTGTGGCAGTGGCGGCGGCGGCGGCCTTAGGGGTTGTTTTCAGGCCGCCGCCGCCGCCGCCGCCGCCGCCAGCAGCAGCAGCATGGGCCGCTGAGCCCCGCTGACCTGGGGCGGACTGGGCTCTGTGCGCAGTTGGTGGCTGTATTAGAGCGCGTAAACAATGTTGCAGTGGCGGCGGCGATGGCGGCGGTAGATGCAACTGCCGTACTGGCGTACGTTCGTCGTCGCCGCTGCTGACCTCCCCGTCGCTGGGGCTACTCGGTTGTTCGAAGATGACGCGTCGGCGGTGGAACACGCCGCCGGCCGTCAACGGAACGCCGTCGGAGGCGGTCGCGTGCCCAGCTGCAGCACCGTCCGCTGCCGCTGCCGGCGTATGCGCTGCGGCCGCAGCGGCGACGGCGCCGCTGGGACTTGCCTCGCCAGCGGTAACGTTTGCGGCCCCAGCGTGTTTCGTCGGCGATGCGGTACTCCGCCTCCGCTGCTGTTGCTGCTGGTGCTGCCGGACGGTGATCCTAGGGCTAGGACGGGTTGGCGAGGAGGTGTCTGCTGGAGGACCCTGCAGCAGCTCCTGTCCCAGCGCTACAACTTCCGTCGCCACCGTCAAAGCTGTAGCAGCATCCGTACTTGCGTCTGCCGCTGCAGGTGGCGTTTTTCTCGTCACTACAGCCCTGAAGACATCCCCAGCACCGCCGCTACCGACGCTGCCTCCGAAACCACCGCCATCGTCACCATCATAGCCGCCGCCGCCGGTGCTGCTACTGCCGGCCAAAACCCGCACCCCGAAGCTGAACGCTGCCGACGGCGGCGACAATCCCCCGCTGTCGCCCCGAGGCCTTCCGTGCTTCTCCCCTGCAGCACCATCCTCCTCCTCCTCCCCCTCCCCCGCCTCGTCCTCCTCCTCCTCCTCCTCATCATCATCATCCGCGTCGCCAAGGCGTCGAACGCGGAGCCATTCGGCGTCCGCCTCCGCCACCGCCGTAGACCCCGCGTGTGCGGTTACTGCCGCCGCCGTCATCGCCGTTGCTGACGCCGCCGGCTGTTCAGCGGCGGCGGCGCCAGCCGGCGCCCCGCCGGTCCGTCTGCCGTACTGAATTTGACCTGTCGCAAGGTTGTTGGCTGCCAGTTGTGCCAAGGAAAGGCTTTGCAGGGAGGGCATCCCGCCGTCGGCGTCAGCGACAGCGTCAGCGGCGTCGTGGGATGGCATCGAGGGCAGGAAGTACGGATCTGCGTCGCCGTGCGGATCCGGGTTGATTAGGTTTCGGTTTATCGGCGGCGGCGGCGGCGGCGGCGGGGGAGGACGTTGGCCTGTCGACGGTGTACGAGCTTTGGGACGTTCCAGAGTGGGTTTGGCGATACGAACGCCTGACGGCGCCGCCGCCACCGTCGGCGTCGGCGACATCGCCTGACTTTCGCGACCAACTCTTCCTCGCGTCGTACCAGGACCAGGCGGCGACGTCGGTCCGCTGGCCTTGGCAGCGGAGGCGGTAACAGCATGTACGACACGCGCCGACGGCGGTACAATCACGGTCCGCCCCGGTGTCACGGCCGTCGATCCTGCCGCCGCGCGATCTAGCGCCGCCAGCTGTAGCTGCTGCCGCCGCGACGCCGCCAGACGCTCCGCTCGCCTGGCCTGGGAGCTCAACTTGCAGACCAACGGCGCCACGCCTGGCGGCGGCGGAGCCGCTGCCGATGGCGGCGGCGGCGGCGGCGGCGGCCTGCCGCAGCGAGGGCCCCTGCTGACTCGACCCTGCGATCCGCCCGCCACCTGATGTACCCCTTTGCTCGTCCCCTGTCCGTTACTATCACCGTTACCGTTACCTTTGGCAGTTACTACGCCAAAGCTGAAGCTGTGCGCAGCGCGCGGGAGAGTCTCTGGATCCGTCTGGGTCTGAGTCTGGGTGTGTGGCGCCGCCGCCGCCGCCGCGCTGCCGCCAGCGTAGCACGCCAACGAGCCCACAAGGACCGCCGAACTGAGAACGGCTGAGCCTCCACTCTGGGAGGCCGCAGGAGCAGATCCAGATCCAGATCCAGGCGCGGATGCGGATCCGGGTGCGCCTGCTCCTCCTCCTCCCCCTCCTCCTCGTGATTCCTCTTTTCCCCCTCCTTCTTTTCCTCCCCCTTCTTCCTCTGGGGAAGGGATGCGGGGGAGGAGGAGGGTCGGGGCGTTAAGGACTGAAGGGAGTCAAGAATGTCCCCACCTTCCCCTCCAGGAAGCCGCCTGTGTGCCGCCTGCCCCTGCCCCTGCCCCTGCCCCTGCCCCTGCCCCTGCCCCTGCCACTGCCCCTAAC